TTTATAGGATGAACAGATTGAATTTAGGCTTTAATTCACATATAAACATTCATCAACGCACACATCAGTTGTGGTAAATGGAAGCTCAAGCATGTTGGCTTGATGCGCGACAACCAATGAGGTATATACCATGTGGTCACATAGAAACACACACACAATTAATTTCTAAATTTCCTGGCAAATCACTGTTTTTATTCTTCTCCAGGGTCTTGGGCAGACCGTTCCCCTCTTCATGATGCTGCCAGCCAAGGACGTCTGCTGGCCCTCAAGACCCTCATTGCTCAGGTAGTTTCTCATTTAAATGACCTTTAGTTCAACTGTTAGATAAGAAATTTGTACTTGTAATAATGTGTGCAGTATTTATACCATGTAGTCACATGCACTCTACTGGATTAGTAATGAAATACACATTTGGTGTAGAGGTGAACGCTGCAATCCATAATGCACCTTAGTGAAAGGGCATTGCTGCCACCATCTGGAATAAAAGAATCCTGCACATTCAAATGCAATATTAATTTCTCTTAATCTGTCCTCAGGGCCACAGCGTGAATGTGCTGACAATAGACCACATTAGCCCTCTTCATGAGGCATGCATAGGGAGTCATGTTGCCTGTGCCAGAACCCTGATAGATGCCGGAGCCAACGTTAGTCTCTGCAGGGCTGCTTGGTAACCCTTTCATTTCAGAGGTCTTGATTAGCAATGGCCTAGGCTTCTTTTACTGGGTTTAGCAAATTTGCTAAATATATTGCCTATGTTACACTGAAATGCAGTATATGTTTATTTATTATGCATGTTAAAATGTATTTTATTGTATTAATTCAATTATGGATTCTATAGCAGTATCGTAGCTTTTTTTATTATATAGCCTAATAATTATATATATATATATAATTTTTTAATCATTATATTATATTATATTATATTATTTGGTCATAACTTAAACCATAAAATGTGAAATAAAAGGTTTTTTTCTTCCAGCATTTCAGTGATTTCGTGAAACATGCTGTTCTGTGTGTTCAGGTAAATGTGACAACTATAGATGGTGTGACTCCATTGTTTCATGCCTGCTCAGCTGGCAGTTTGGCATGTCTAGAGCTGCTCTTGCAGTGTGACGCCAGACCACATGCCCTGGCTATATTCCAGCCTTCACCCATCCATGAGGCAGTCAGCATGGGTGGGTATAAGATTGATACCATAGTCCCACACAAATCAAAATTAGATTTTGATTATTGTAGGACTGTGGTACTCTAATTAGCTGAATAGACTTTTGACGTTTTTAATATGACATGGTTTTATATGGTCTCTTTCAAAAGGTCACAGCAAGTGTGTGGAGGCGCTGGTTGCATGGGGTGTGGATGTGGATTATGAAATCCCTCACATGGGCACCCCTCTCTACAGTGCTTGTCGGTGTAAGGAGTTCATATGTGCCCGCATGCTGCTTGATGGAGGTAAACGTGTCAAAATTCACACTAGCTGTGCAGACAAGTGCGGACAAACAAACAGCAGTTTTATGACAACCTGACAATTAGTAATTAATTTTTCAACTTTAGTGGAGAGTCAGTATGTCAGTATATTTATATGGACCATGCTGAAAGTAAATATAAAGTGGAGTTCAGTAAGCGAATCAGTTGATTTGATTTAGACGGAGTGTCAGCTCAGTGTCAGACTGGTTTAAACCAGTTAATGTGAATGAAAACAGTTCATAAAAAAGAATCTGCTCTAAAGAGCCATTTGTTGTGAATATTTTTATCTCATCACAGAATGTAAACTCACATTTACAACTCGAGTTCATTCAATCAATCGAACTTTATTTCAAACAAAGAAGGATCACCAATAAAATTTTGAAAATCAAAATAGATAATAGATATAATATATATAAATATAAATATAAATAATGATGACAGCGTTAATTAATACTGCATATAATTTTAAGACGCTTCATAAAAGCCAAACTAAATAAGAGGTGTTTATGTTTAAAAATATTAATATTTTCTGCACGTCTCACTTCCTCTATATATAATGGCTGAATGTCTTCACTAAATGTTTTAGTTCTACTTTGTGTAACAACTAGAAGAGACGAACCGCACAATCTCAGGGGCCTTCCTGGTTTAGACTGAAAGCATTTTTAAAAGTCTATGTAGTGCCTTTTAAGCTAATCAAAGAATTTGAAAATCAATTTGAAAACTAACAGGTAAGGGGTTAATATGATTTATTGTGCCATGCATAGAGCTGAAGATTCATTGCAGAAGGTTCAACTGTGATAAAAATGAAACACTTATAGCCCTATATCGGTTCTATTCTATCTAGTTTTAACCATTGCCCGCTACTAGTTTACACATAAAGTTAGGGTTAATATTCGTAAAATAACCCATACTGTAAATATTTTACTGCATTTTCACCATCACAGGTGCAAATGTGCAGAAAGGCGCACATATGGAGACTCCTCTTCATGCAGCAGCCCAGAAAGACTGTGTAAGCATAGTGAAGCTCCTGCTGGAATTTGGGGCAGATGTAAATCCACGCAACCTGGAGTATAAACGGCCCGTAGATGTTGCTCCTCCAGGGAGCCTTACAGAGGGCTTCCTATTGATTTATGAAGGTGAGTTAAATGTGCAGCAGTATTATAGACTCAAAAGTCACTGATGTTTTGGTTTAACTTTTGCATGTTTTACTGCATCAGCCCTTACCAGCTTGTTCCTTTTGCAGCGACACCCCGTTCTCTACGCCAGCTGTGCCGTCAGCAAATCAGGGAGAGTTTGGGACGTTCCCGACTACATCTTCTACCACATTTACCCCTCCCTAATGCTATGAAGAACTTTCTACAATATAGATGATCTTATTATGTTTACTGGCATGCCATCTTAGTATTATCGTATTGTTTGACTTAGTAAATAATAGTTTTAAATAAAAGCTGTTTTACCTTTTTCCATTTAATAATAATCTTTTTTGGCCTGATTTGACAAGAAGCCAGTGATGTCCATAAATACTTAAATAATGGTACCTCATCTTGTTTATCTTACTTTAACTTTAACTTTTTCCACTTTAAATGATCTAATTCCAATGAGTGTCCCTTTAAAGTCACAATGAAATAAAAGTTGACAATTCTTATTTTTTATAGAAGATTGCAGCATTTATTATAAAATGATTTATTCGTACACATTATAGCCATAACCAGACTCAACCCTGCTTAGCTTCAGTGGGCAACCAGTCTTTGGCTACAGGGTGATATGGCTGCTGGCTTAATGTGCTGTCTCAATTTCAGCCATAAATGAATAATAAATGTTTGCTATTATGTTCAGTACCTTTCTAGCTATGTATGTTTATGCTGACATATTTTTAAATAATAGTTTGTATTGTAAAAACATCTATCGCGTGTCATTATGTGTGAGTTGCCTCGCTTTAGAACTTTCGTTAGTGAGCATCGATGCTTCCTGGTTTTCACAATGCATTGTGGGACTTTTTAGGGAGAGAACATTTCAGGGCACTGGAAGGATTTTGTGATTGAGACAGCCCTGAAAATGGCCGACTCCCTGATCAGTGCCCTGTCTACTGAACTAAGGAGCTGATTGGGAGGCACCACCACTTGTCACTTACATGAAACTGTAACAGTATTGTGAAACATGTGATGTGTTCTTCTGATGTAATATGGAAGTTACCCGTGTACATGCTATTTGTTTATAATTAGGCATTAAAAAAGACTGTAGCAATAGCAAAACAGTAGTCCCATCCTACATCTTTTATTCTTTTTCAGAAGCCGTTTTAGGTATACGTCACAATAGGAGGGGGGGGGGGGGGGGGGGGGGGGCGTCTGCATGCCGTCTTTTTAAAAAAAAAAAAGCATACTGAGCGGAGTCTGATCGTCTAATATAGGTATTGATACATATCAAATATATTATGTAAATTACATAAAAAAAAATGCTGAATAAATATCATAAAATTTATAATGAAAGTAGTGGTCCCCTGGAGTTGTCTCACTGGTCTTCAGTTAAACAAAATATCTTTTTTAAACTAAAAATAACACTGATGACATCACTTGACTTCCTACTTCCAATTTCCTGAATATATATGAAGAAAGAATACATATATATGAAAATTATTGTCACTGGTGTTACTGTCACTTGTGTCACCTTTCTTATGGGTAAGGCCGGTTAGACCAGTGACTCCCATTTATAGATAAACTTTATTCAAAGCTATTCATTTATATTGTATGCCAAATGTAACCATTTAGAATAATAATTCAATGGCATGAGCTAATATCGTACCACAATTAACCCATTGCGCTTTGGAGGAGGATCCAGTTCAGAACTACAATCACGAGTAAAAAAGTGTTAGAAAAACTACAAAGCATGGTGGGTGTGCGACCGACGGTTAAGTAGAGAAGTTTAGATAAAGGGGTTTGAGTGACTTATAATCAACATTTAAGCTGAGAAAAAATATTTATGTAATGTTATCCGTGTTATATTTCATCTGCAACAACAACGTGAACTTTTATAAAGATCCGTTTGGCCATTAACTTTTAAATGCATCGTTATGCATGAAAATGAGGAGAGTCTCCGCATGAAAGACCCGTGACTGCAGATCAACGTGCGGCATTTCTCTCCGATACAGTAGGAAATTAAATGAAATGAAATGTAGAGGATTTTATCTTTTGACAAGATGATTGACAGGTCAGTTTACGTGACAGGATGCGTGTAACCTCTCTGGTGTAACTAAGCGACAGAGAGCAACCGTTAAAGACGAAATTGTATGACGTGATAGTAATGTCCCAAAGCTTGTCTACTCTTCTGCTACACACTTAAAAGTAAGTACTTTTCCTTCTCAAAAAGAGTACATACTTTTAAGGCGTAGTATAAGTAGGCGAATTGAGACGCAGCAGTCTATCCCTCACAGCCCGTTAAAAATCAAAGATGGCGCTGCTGTGAATAAGGTCATAGATCAATCATATGATCTGCCAGCAGGGGGCAGCACATCAACTTCAGTGCGTGTCCTCCTTGGGCTTGTTTCCATGCAACTGTAAACAATGAAACCGTAGGGGGTTGTTCTCTTCGTCAAACAAACTAATCATTTCTGTCGTCGTTAACCTTACTTAGAAATGGCCTATTCACAGTCGCCTAAGAAGGCCGGTATACCACGAGAGGTTTTGAAATGGCTGCAAAGTCTTGATTTAACGTTTTTTCCAAAAAACGTGCGCAGGTGAGTACGTTTGAGAAGATGATAAGTTAGCGTCTCTGCAGTCGCACAAGCTTGAACAATTTAGTGGATCTCAATGTATCTGCAAATAAAATCTTAAATATGGCATATCGCTTGTTAGTTTAGATTTCTAATCAAGTGTAACTCATCATGTCAGTTCTATTTCGCTGTTTAGTCAACTTCCGGCTACTTTTTGAACTAATGGTATTAAACACTTGGTTTATGAAAGGACAAATTTGAATAAAAAATAAACAAATATGAATTCCCATTAAGGATGAAATGTGGTATACACGTGCCTTGCTCTCTTTTTTGACCAAAGAGACTTTTCCAACGGATACCTAGTGGCAGAAATATGTTCCTGGTATTTCCCAGAGGATTTTCATATGCACTCCTATGACAATGGAACTTCCTTGGCTACCAAACAATCAAACTGGTCCCAGATTGAGAAAGTGAGTTTTAAACCCTGCAGAAATGATCACCAAATGACATGAAAATAAATGTTAATTTAAATTGTATTCATGTTTTTTTATATGTCTATTATGCATTGGCATTTTTTCCCCTTAAAATATTCCAGTTTAATAAAGATCTAGCCTCTTTGGTTGTTTAAAGTTTCTTGTGAAGCAAAACATCAGTCTGATGAAGGAGATCATAGATGGCACAATCCACTGTAAACCTGGAGCTGCAGAGCTTCTTGTGCAGGAGATTTACAGCATTCTGACCAACAGAAGGTGAGATTTCCTATTTACTTTCTCATCAGAATATCAAATGATAGCCATTTTTGCCATTGTTGTTGAAAACTCACATTTTGTTTTTCTCAATTCTGGTATATAAAGCCAACTTCTCATGATATAATCCATTTGTGATGGATAAAAATACATGTTTTAAGTGTGTAATATAAATATGCGAATTGGCTTGCAGCCATGATTTCGTAATGAGTCACATATGCTTCAAAGGCTAATGAATGACTAATTAATGTCACACCTTGTCTTCATTTGGCTTGTCTTATGCTTCCTGTAGGATCCAAACCATACAGAAGGTGGAGCAAGGCTTCACAGACAAGGCTTACCAAGACCAGTTGCCCATGGTGGCTCGTTCCACAGCCTCAGTGGCCATAAAGAGCAACTTGAGACTCAGTGAGGTTATAGCTGAACCAAACATCATCATCAACCAGTGCAAGGTCCTTGCAATCATACACAGGCACATAGAACAGAGAAAAGAGGAGAGAACCCAAGACCCAAGTGAGTAACACTCGTTGACTCATTTCTGTTTGCCTCAAGATGTGTGTCATGTGAAAGGATGTGTTATTGTATAGTTCATGTCATATTTTCAGTAAACAGTACATGGAATTTTCTTTGTACTTCTTGATAGAACGATTCGATGTTAAGCCCACTCTTGGAGAACAGGCTGTCAGATTGTCTCCACTGTTAGCCCACAAGAGCGAGCCAAACCTGCTGATGAACACCAGTCAAGCAGCTTGTTAAGTGCCTGGCCCTGGATTCCCAACAGAAGGATGAGATATACGTAAGCCAAAAGTCTTAATCAGGGTTCCTTAAATCCGGTCCTGATGGGCCACTGCCCTACAGAGTTTAGCTCAAACTCTGAAAGCTCACCTACCTGTGGCTGTGTTCGCAATCGCCCCCTATACCCTCATTCACTATTCCCTACATTACTCCACTAATATAGTCCACTTGAAGGAGCGAATGAAAAACAAATAATCATTTGAAACTAAGCAAACTGGCAGCTCCAGTAATAAGATGAAAAGATTTATCTTGAACTCTTTCATAAAAACTAGCATTTATAAACCTTAATCAAAGAATTTAATAATCAACTAAAAAGAAAATTATACCTGTATGATATCACACTGTAGTCACATTGGACCAGCGGTTTGGAAAATGGATGATTCAGCGGTGGGCGCCATCTTCAGGTCAGACACGGGAATTCATTCAGCACGACCCTTACAGTGCATTATGGGTTTTCTCTAGCCGTTGAGTGTATGGCCCTGTCCCAAATGGTACACTTATGCACTTACGTTCTTGTGGACAATGGCTGCCGCGCAGCGTGTCTGTTAAGTCCTTGAGACCGTAGGGTGTCCCATTTGTCATTTAAGGTTTCAGAAGGGTTGCCTTCAGATCCCCTTTGCGGTCGATATGCGCCCTCGATTCGCACTTTGTCAGAGCCCGCACTGAAGCGAACTCCACAGCAGACTTCTTCCCTATTTAAGGGTAGGGGGGTGATTTCGGACACAGCCTGTGATTTTTCTAGTGATCCTGAAGACCTTGATTAGTTTGCTCAGGTGTGTTTGATCAGGGTTGGCCCTCCAGGGCAAGATTTGAGGAACCATTTGCTGTGTCCGAAATTGCATACTATCTTGAGTAGGTACTGATTTTGAGGTAAATTACTCCACAACCCCTAAAAATGTATGTCCTAAATAGTATGAATGAGTGTAGTATGAATGTAATCCAGACATACTACATGCGCCATGTTGTCATTATCATGTGATCTCCCAGCGTCAGTTGTGTCGCTTCACTGTCATTCACAAATCCTCTGATAGTAAAGTGTCCATCGGTTCACACTTCAGAACCTCACCGGAAGAAGTAACCACGTATGAATGAAAATGCATATTTGTCATTTTAATAGAACTTAGGGCTGGTGATGCTTGATGTTGGTCATTCAGTGTTTCTGTAAAAAACCAAAACAATCAACTGATAAAATTCTACTACTAATAACAATATAAAACAAGCTAAGGTCTGATGAGCTGCTGGGTGAATGAATATTAATCATGTTGTCTGCTTTCACTAGAACTGATTTGCTGAACATTTGCCTCTTATTAAAGGCTGAATAATTCCAAATAAACTCTGTTTTGACAGGAATATACAGCAAAGAATATAATTTACATGTAGCGTGTCAATTCTACATGGAATGTAAGACTCTTTCTCTCTTTGCGTGTGAGAGAAACGGTGCTCTTAGCGACGGCAAGTCTGGCGCCTTCACACTTCAGTTTAAGGTGCATCAAATACTGTACACTGCATAAAGTGCACATCCATTGAGTTGAATTGCAATAGTGAAAGTCTCAAGCGCTCAGTCAGGGTGAAGGTGAGTGAAAATATATCTGTGCTAAACTGTGATACTTCTAACTCAAACACAAACACTGGCGAGTGAAGTCTAACAATTCATTAGCTAAGGGCTAGTGATAGATAGACCTTATTTAGTCGCCTAAAATGTAGTCGCATATGCTAGTGAATTACTTTCATTGTAGGCAAGGCAAGGCAAGTTTATTTATATAGCACATTTCATACACAATGGTAATTCAAGGTGCTTTACATAGAAAAATCAAAAGAAATAGGAATAATTAAAACAGTTAAGAATAAAGAGATTAAAATAATCAAAAGAAATAAGAATAATTAAAACAGTTTAGAATAAAAAATTAAATAAAATACAGTACAAACAGTCGGACACAGTGGCAAAGTGCTCATTCAGTAAATGCATAGCTAAACAGATGTGTTTTGAGTCTGGATTTGAATGTGACTACTGTAGGAGCACATCTGATCTCCTCTGGAAGCTGGTTCCAGCTGCGGCTGGCATAGTAGCTAAAAGCAGACTCTCCTTGCTTAGAGTGAACCCTTGGTATTTCTAGCTGATGTGATCCTAATGATCTGAGTGATCTGTTGGGTTTATATTCAGTGAGCATATCTGCAATGTATTTAGGTCCTAGGCCATTAAATGATTTATATACCAGTAATAATACTTTAAAATCAATCCTAAATGTAACTGGGAGCCAGTGTAAAGACCTGAGGACTGGTGTGATGTGTTCATATTTTCTGGTTCTGCTCAGAAGCCTGGCAGCAGCGTTCTGTATGAGCTGCAACTGTCTTATGGTCTTTTTAGGAAGGCCAGTGAGGAGTCCATTACAGTAATCCACCCTGCTGGTGATGAAAGCATGCACAAGTTTCTCTAAGTCTTGACTGGAAACAAAGCATCTAATTCTTGCAATATTTTTCAGATGATAGTATGCTGATTTAGTTATTGATTTGACATGACTACTGAAACTAAGGTCTGACTCTAGAGACACACCAAGATTCCTGACTTGATTTTTAGTTGTTAGACCCCTAGCGTCAAGGTATGCATTCACCTTGAGAACTTCATCTTTGTTTCCAAACGCAATGACTTCAGTTTTGTCTTTGTTTAACTGAAGAAAGTTTTGGCACATCCAACTGTTTACTTCATCAATGCATTGGCACAGGGAGTCAATGGGGCTGTAATCGTTAGGCGATAGGGATAAGTAGAGCTGTGTGTCGTCTGCATAGCTGTGGTAAGAGATTTTGTTCTTTCTCATTATTTGGCTCATTGGGAGCATGTACAGGTTGAACAGGAGTGGTGCAAGAATTGAGCCTTGAGGGACTCCGCATGTCATGGACGTCCACTCAGACTTATGGTCTCCTATACTCACATAATAACCTCTCCCTTCTAAGTATGACCTGAACCATTTTAGGACTATCCCAGAAAGCCCCACCCAGTTTTCCAGCCTGTCAAGAAGTATGTCGTGATCGACAGTGTCAAATGCAGCACTGAGGTCGAGTAGTACCAGCACTGATAATTTCCCTGTATCAGTATTTAAGCGAATATCATTTATTATCTTTATGAGCGCTGTCTCTGTGCTGTGATGCGATCTGAAACCAGATTGAAAATTGTCAAAGTATCCATTCAAGCTTAAGAATTTGTTCACCTGATTGAAGACAACTTTTTCAATGATCTTCCCTATGAAAGGAAGATTTGAGATCGGTCTATAGTTGCTTAATATGGTCTTATCCAGATTGATCTTTTTCAGGAGGGGCTTGACAACTGCAGTTTTCAGGGAGTTTGGAAAATTCCCAGAGAGAAGTGAGGCATTTACCATTTCTAGGAGATCTGCTTCTAAACAGTTTAACACACTTTTGAAGAAAGATGTGGGAAGTGCGTCAAGGGCGCAGGTTGATGTTTTAAGGTGCTGTACGGTTTCTTCTAAAATTTTGCCATCAATTTCTTCAAAATCAGACATAGTAGCTACTTTCTGCGGTTGTGGTCTGATCTGTCTGACCCCAGTGCGGCTCAATGATGTGCTGATCACCTTTCTGATATTATTGATTTTCTCAGAGAAGAAAAAAGCAAACTCCCTGCACTTGCTGTCTGAAAGCATTTCACTGGGAATCTGGCTTGGGGGGTTTGTCAGTCTCTCTACAGTAGCAAAAAGAGTGCGTGTGTTGTTTAAGTTGCTGTTTATAATATTTGAGAAGAAAGTCTGTCTAGCTTTGCCTAGTTCCATATTAAAAGCATGGATGGTGTCTTTGTAGATGTTATAATGGACTACAAGTTTTGTCTTCCGCCACATGCGCTCTGTTTTTCTGCATTGTCTTTTCATATTTTGCACAGCTGTTGAGTTTCTCCAAGGTGCTTTTTGTCTACCACTCTTCCTGACTTTCACAGGAGCAATATCATCAATTACACTTTTAACTTTTGAGTTAAAACAATCAAGGAGAAAATCAACAGAGTCAGCAGATATGCTTGGTGTTGAAGATATAGCCTTCATAAATAGTACACTAGTGTTCTCATTTATGCATCTCTTCTTGACAGACACAGATCTAGCTTCAATGGCAGGAGAGATCAATATATCAAAGAAAATACAGAAATGATCAGACAGTGCTACATCCTTAATAACAATCGATGAAATGTTTAGACCCTTACTGATAAGTAAATCTAGAGTGTGTCCACGAGTGTGTGTCGGTCCGTGTACATGCTGAATCAGGTCAAAAGTTTTTAAAACAGTTTTGATTTCTTTTGCCATATTTGTATCATTATCTATGTGAATGTTAAAATCTCCAGCAATAGCAAAACAGTCGAACTCTGAGGAAATTGTTGATAACAGTTCTGTAAAGTCCTCAGCAAAGGCTGGAGAGTATTTTGGAGGCCTGTAAATAATGATAAGTAAAATGCGTGGGGCACCTTTTAAAACAATACCGAGATATTCAAAAGACGGGTAGTTACCAAATGATGTTTGCTTACATTGATAGACATCCTTAAAAAGAGCAGCTACTCCTCCACCTCTCCTTACAGCTCTGCAGACACTCATAAAAGTAAAGTTAGGAGGGGCTGTTTCATTGAGGACGGTTGCACTGCAGCTGTCTTCTAGCCAGGTTTCATTTAGAAGCATAAAATCCAGGTTGTATGTGGTTATTAAGTCATTGACTAGAAGTGATTTATTTTTAAGTGAGCGGATGTTTAAAAGTGCTAACTTAACAGTCTTACTGTAGAGGGTTGCTACTCTTTTATGAGTACTGTGAATTTGGACATACTGCTTTTGTCACATACTGTTTTTAGCCTACTGTATAGTAGGGAAGTATGCTGTTTCGGATGCAGCCCTGCTCTAAATACTTAATTTAAACAAACCATGTTGTTTTTCGTGTTTTGTTTTTTTACAGAGCAGAGTCACAAGCAGTGTTGGGTAAGCTATTAAAATTTTTTAGCTAGCAAAGCTACTAACTACTACAAATGAACTAAGATGATCTGAGTTCTACCCTTTAGAGAAAGTATCTAGTTATGCTACAAACTACTGTACATGGCAAAATATCTCAGACCATTTTGCTTACCCGTTTGATTAATTGAAATGAAAGGACTCAAAAGAGTCATTCATTTGCACTAGTTATGATTTAAAACAGGCAGTTTCAAAATACAGGAATGATTACTGAAATATTGTGTGAGAACATTTGATGCTGTAGAGAGTGTAAGAAATAATAATGTGGATGTCGAAGATGTCAAAAATGAAGTTTATTACAGCATAGCAGTGGCAAGGTACACGAACAAAGCACCTTGGGTTTACCGGCGTCAGAATGAACCCAGAACATCCAAATCTTAAACCTTTTATCCTGTTACAGTTTACCACTCTTAATGTAAATGAAGTTGCTCTTGTTGTAACAGCTGTTAATGTGTTCTGTATGTTAATGAAGTTGAGACATTGTCTGAGAAGGTTCTCTGTGTCCCACACCCATTCCCATTCTACAATTGACTACCATTTGCTCAGGATGTGATCAACCCAAATGGTGAAGAAACAATATGACTTCACTTCCTTCATCTCTTTTGGAGTGGAACCTGGGTCGAGGGCGAGGCAGACTACAATTTCTTACAAGAGTGTCGATGTTATCGCACTACTTAAATAAAATAGCTTCTCTGTTGAACAGTTAGTCTCTAATGGTTTAAAACATTTCTATGGAGACACATGGGTAAATTTTTTGAAATTAAGATTTATACATCATCTGAAAGCTGAATAAATAAGCTTGGTTAGGATAGGACAATATTTGGCCGAGATAAAACTATTTGAAAATCTGGAATCTGAGGATGCCAAAAAATCGAAACATTGAGAAAATCGCCTTTAAAGTTCTACATTTATGTTTGCGATTGTGCTTCATTCACTCACAAAAATAAATGTTTTATATATTTACGGTAGGAAATTTACTAAATATCTTCATGGAATATGATTTTTACTTAATATCCTAATGATTTTTGGCATAAAAGAAAAATTCATCTTTTTGACCCATACAATGTATTGTTGGCTAATTGCCACAAATATACCCGTGCTACTTGTGACTGGTTTTGTGATCGGTCACATATATAAAAAAATTAAAGTAAATAATATACATGATAAAAGCACACAACGAAAAAATAACAGCTGATTAATAAATACTATAACAGTGCATAAATAATACTGTACATTTGAGATCAGTGTTGGGCAGCAGAGTTTTTTTTGTTGTTGTTGTTGCATTTATCTGTATTGTATTAAGGGAATGTTTGTGTTTTTGTGCAGGTTCAGTGGCGTCTGGATTCAGAAGCAAATGCTTTGCCGATATTGGAGGCAAATAATGAGACTGTTTAAGGTAGATGTCCAATGAAGGTCTTCAAAGTACATTCAAAATGAGGCCCTATATATCTGAGCACAAGATTCATTCCCACAATAAAAGAAAGTCTAAGAAGCATACACATCACTATGCATGCTGCTTTTGTTGTCAATGCTTGAACAGAACACATCAAAAAAAAAAGTTTATCCGGTTCTAAAGGCTTGTTCAGTTTGCTATTGGATTTGAATTTTCTACATTGGAATAGCTTCACCATACGGGTCAACAAATCCATTGTGATTTACTCATAAATATTCAGTGCTTCAAACTTTTCAGAAGAACTGATGTTCATTAATTTGTTAAAGGAATAGTTCAAACAAAACTTTTTTTATTTCATTGATTCATAAATATATTTTTTTCTTCTGTAGAAGGCAAAAGTAGTATAATATGTAAATATATATATATATATTGTATGTACTGAAATCGGTAACCGCAGCTGCTCCAGAAAGGACCATACAAGTCTGCATACATTTTTCATATGGTCTTGTAAAGCCAAATTAAAAGGAACAGAGTGGAATTGAAATTATTCACTCAGTCTGCTTTCATCCATATATCTTATTCATGCTCTTGCTAATTCAGACCCAATATATCATGATATTTGAACCAACAAAGTTTATGAACAATTCTTTTCCTCTTCCTCCTTATGTGATGTTTCTATGTTTATTCTCCATGAGTAATAACAGTGAGCAACAGGAAACAATAATATAGCACATAAGTGGTATGAACTTTTTTTCTTCCTTATTGTCCATTTATGGTTTTTGTCTTTGGTGCTTTGAAGGGTTGGGTATTCTCTTGCTCTATGAAAAAGAGCAGTCTGGCCATTTTCCTTGAAATCTTCTTTGGTGTTCCATAGAAGAAAACTAAATCGTATAGGTTTATAACATCATTTGAGCACGCTGTCTGGAGCTAGTATCATAAAATGGCAATTAAGCAAGCATGAGGTTTGATTGTCTCTTTGGAAAAGCATAAATTCAGCATTTATTGTTTAACCCCAGCAGCTCTCAGGCCCGTTGTTGCATCTCTGTTATCTCTGTATTGAGAGGGTTCTGTTTTCTTTGAAAGTCGCAGCATGTTCTCTTCCCCGCTTCACCCAAGGCCCACTGCAAATTAGACCTTCATTTAGCAAACCCACCGTGAGACAGGCAGGTTTTAGGCAAGTTGCCCGGGTGCCTGTTTACCCCCTCTGTTTCTCTCCCCCTTGTACACACACAAACACATAGTGTCACACAGTCTCTTTCATTCTCACACGGTCGCTACCGCTGTCAAACATAAAGAGTGTATCTGTCGTGTTACCATGCATCTTTTAGACTCAATTCATAGCATAAGGTTGCCATGGATATCTGAAGCGAGCATACTGCTTTTCATGAATGTGCCCAGAAATGAACTTTTTAGACCACCTCGTCTCTCTCACGCTCGCTCTGTTTTTCTCACCCTCCTCCCCATGTTGTTTTATGTCTGGTATGGGCATTTAAAAACCAAATAATAGGCTTTGTGTGAATGGTATGACCCTGAATATGCAGTCATTTAATGTTATTGAAATCAGTCTCCGCTCTCATTGATGGTCAACAATAACAGGAAATGAAAGTAGGAAAAGAATATGTATCTATTAAATTATGATTTGTTTTAGTGACCTAACATTTCTGTTGTCATTTTCGCACTCTGATGTCATTCTAAACATGTATCACTTTCTTTCTTCTATGAAACATGTTTCAGTGTATTTTAATGGAGTCCAATGTTAAAATATCTTTTATGTTCCACAGAAGAAATAAAGTCAGGGCTGGAACAACATGAGGGTGAATAAATGACGACAAAATGTTTAAATCTGGTTGAAATATTCCTTTAGGACAATAACCCAGCGCCATTTGCATATATGCATTACATCTATATTATATGTTAAACAGCTCTTTCAAATGCTTCATTCTAGTACATTGCAGAATTCAGTCTTTTTGTTTAATAAACTGACTGTTTTCCCAGGCAACTTTCATTGTGCCGGTGCTACTTTCATATCTCACATATCACGCTGCTGTCTCTTGTCATCTGTGCCATCATGTGACTCAATAGAGTGGAGAACTACTTACGTCACCAACACTAAGCTTCTGACAACTCTTTCAGTCTTTGTTAAAAAACAATTTTCCTTAAAGTTCGAGTTATAATAGTTTGCAAGAGCGCAATTATAAGCACAACGAGGCTGTGAAAGCGGACTTGTGTGTAGATGAGTTTACCTGTTCGGCTGAAGACGTTTAATGTTCCCGACAACCTCTAGTCCCATTTAGACACTGATAAAACAAGACATTGAAAAAAACATGGAAAATCTTGAGCTTGTTCACCACACACCTTTTTTTTCTTCAAGCATTTAACTAAAAACCCATTCAAAAACCCATTGACTTCAGGTCAATGAAACCGGAAGTGCTAAAATACGAATTCATTTCTGGGTTTTGGCCAACAAATACATTGTCCCGGCACCACTCTATATGGCCACGTATTGTTTTAAAAATGACCTCTGAGAACATCTGTATTCATTTTATAGTTAGCTAAACCCTTTAAAGGATGGCTAGAAGCTTAGGAGTCTCCAGTTAAACTTAAAATAGATGTTTTAGAAAGAAGTCTCTTATGCTCACCGAAGCATAGAAATATTTAAAAATTCAATTTATTCCTGATGTCAAAGCGGAATTTTCAGCACCATTACTCCAGTCTTCAGCGTCACATGATCCTTCAGAAATCATTCTATTATGCTGATTTGCTGCTCAAGAAACATTTCTTATTATTAATTATTCTTAATATTCTTATTATTAATTACTAATAGTTGTATTGCTTAATATTTTTGTGGAAATCTTGAGTCATTTTTTTCAGGATTCTTCGATGAACAAAGAGTTCAAAAGAACAGCATTCATTTTGAATTTTGATTTTTTTTTGTAACAATGTAAGTCTTTACTGTCACTTTTGATCAATTTAATGCATCCTTGCCAAATAAAAGTGTTCTTTCTTTAAATCGTATTTAATTAAAAATAAAATCTGAATGACCCCAAACCTTTGAATGGTACTATATCTTGGATTGGATTATTAATATTGTTGCACTGTTTTTTTTTTTTTTTTTCTGTTTTAATGGATTTGTAGCTAAATCCTTATGATAATCTGCAAGTAAGATAATGTAATAGTTTGCACTATATGTCTTTATTTATTTAGCTGTGTATATTAATCCAGGTGTTATCATACACTAAACCCCTTCAGGGTGATACTAGACCCTGATGGGAAGCAAAGGAGAGCCCTGTCAAGGTTTATTTTGCATTAACTTACATATAAAACATGATGTTCTGTGCTCTCTGCACATAGTGTGCTCTGTGCGTACATGTATGTGTGTATGCGCTGCCTCTTAAACAGGCGATATCTAAAGTAGGTTTCTATGGTAACAAGTCAGCTAGAGCTATACAATCTTGCGGGAGATGGTGGCGCTCACTGCAAGCATTTCAGAATAAACGCACACTGGAACACATTTTGTGTGATGCTGTCCAGTGCCAACTAACTGCATGTAGACGGCTAGATGCCCTTGTAGAGGCCATCTTAGCCATCTGTTGTGTGTTTTTTCATCTGGGCCTGCAGTGCAAAATAGGGAGGATGCATGTATTTGAGAGTTAGAAGAGGGGGGTTCGGATTCATGTGTTTAATCCAGACATGAACATGATTAGCCAGAAGGGGATTGGGTGTTAAAGTATCGCTCATTAACTTTTGGTTTTCCCCTGTAAAACCCACCCCATACTCATTGCCTGAGCATCACACATGAACACATGCACATACGAACAACACACACTTGGCGGCGAGAGCCAACGTCTCTCTCCCACCACCTTCCCAGAAAAGCAGCATCATCAGGGACCAGGGTGTGGCTGTGTTTGTGCCGGCATAGACTCGATGACGTGGCAATCACATTGGAGATAATTTTTTTCTTCTGTTAATTCCTGATAAAGTCATATCAGTACATTTCATGTGCTATAATTAAATTCTAGAATGTATTAAATAGTATAAATTATGTATATCATTTATGTGTAATTTAATAATATTCTATATTTTAAGAAAAGCAGTTTTTTTTTACATTGATGATAATAATAAATGTTTTTTGAGCATCAAATCAGTATTAGAAGGATCATGTGACACTGAAGACTGAAGTTGTAACACAGACGCAGGCTGAGTAGGATCCATGTGCAGTTTATTTAAATATAGCAGGCTCAGTGTACAAACAGGCGTGGGTCGAAATACCAAGGCTAACAACAATATAAGAGACAGGACATCAAACGTGGTCAAAACAGGCAGTGGTTCAGGGCTGGCAGCTAACAACAGGAGTGAAGGTCCGAGTGAAACAGAGATCAATGGCAGGCAGAGAAGAGTCGTAGTCGGTAATCCAAGGCAGGGTCAAAACACAGACAGAAGATACAATGATAGGATAACGCTCAGAAATGCAGCCGGGGCAAACAAGACTTCGCAATGTGTGTATGAACAAGCAGGGTTTAAATAGTCTGGTTATGAAGATCAGGTGTGCAGTAATCAGTCCCTGTATGTGGGTTCTTGGGAAGTGTAGTTCAAAGCTACCGTTAGTATTCAGGAGAGTGAGACCTCCGGTGGCCGACAGGGGAATCTTCACCGGCGTTCGTGACAGAGCCCCCCCCCTGCGAGCGGCTCCTGAAGCGAGAGCACATCCGACGTCGGGGTCTTCCTCGAGGTCGTGGGGCCGGCCTCTCCGGGTGGGTCCTATGAAATTCAACTATGAGATTGGGGTCGAGGATATCATCCGCATTGACCCAGGACCTCTCCTCCGGACCGTACCCCTCCCAGTCTACCAGATATTGGATCTGGCGTCCCCGACGTCTGGAATCTAGCAAATCTCGCACTTGAAATGCCTCCTCGCCATCCACGATCATGGGTGGGGGGCCTGAGTCACCGCCTTCCTCCTCCACCCTCGGACCACCGGCAGGTTTCAGTAGAGAACCATGGAAAGTAGGAGAAATAAGATAAGTGGCTGGTAATTCAAGGCGGTATGACACAGAATTGATTTGTCTCAATTTTGAAAGGACCCACATACCTGGGACTGAGTTTCTT